CAATATGACAGGGTTTTGAAAGTCAATAGTTAGACTGCACTAAGACATTAAACATGGACAAGATGTAAATGGTTGTATTACCGATACTGTGAACTGTGACTATAGTTGAGCCTGACTGGTCACGTGCCATTGGTTTCCACTGACCCTCACAATCAAGCTGGTACTGCTCAACTCTGCACTGGTATCTTCCACTATCAGCTATATCAGAGTTCAATACTGCCAGATGGAAAGTATTAGAAGTAGGTCTAGAGAAGCGTAACCTGTCCTGATTCTCTGTATGGTACTGTAGACGACCATCATAAGAGTAGGACAATAATGGTATCCCGCTAGTTGACTCTGGTCTATTAAATACCCATCTGAGACTGTAGTGATGAGTAGGGTCCTCTTTTCCTACATCCAGGGAGCATTCAATATCAAACTGCTCTCCTTCCTTGATGAAAAGATGCTTGCCATTCTTGTCCATGGCAAAGCTGACATTTTTTTGCCTTTCCTCTGTGTCCTCATGGACAGATATCTTCCCAGACATGTCTTCACCTATCTTTCTCCACTTGTTTGCAGCTGTCTGAATCCATTCAACAACCTGACAGTGGTAAAGGCCAGTATCACTGGGGTTGATGTTTGGCACTGTCAGCTTATAGTGCATGGCACTTGGGTGTCCAAACACCAGATCTTTATTATCGATTGCACTGTGTAAGGTACCATCACGGCTGGCATTGAAGATGATGACAAGTCCTTCATTTCTCTGATCCCTGGACCAAGTCACCTCAAACACAGATGCATCACTGGACCGTGATTCAATGACACAGTCAATGGTGAACCCCGCTTGTAGATTGCTAATGTTCAGGCTTTGTTCCTCCTTTTGAACGTGCAGATTGTTCTCTAATTTAATAGAAAAATCTGCATTAATGTTCTGCTCAATTTTCTGATGATATTAGAATTCTAAATTGAAATTTAGAGTACTCACCTATAAGCTGAACAGTAACATTGTTAAAACCTGACTTGTCGCCTGCCTTAGGTGACCATTGGCCTTTACAGTCCAGCTGGTACTGTTGAACTTGACAGTAGTAGCACCCCCTGTCTTCCTGGATGGATCTATGGATAGTCAAGTGAAAGACACCCACTTCTGGGGTGGAGAAGTGGAGTCGTCCCTCAAGCTCTGAGTCAAAGCTGTTGTAGTTCAGACGGCCATCATGGCTATAGGTCAGAAGTGCCACACTGGAGGACTCATATTGGTTAAACATCCAGGTAAGAGAGTAACGAAGAGTGGAATCAGACCCAATATCCTCCACTGAGCATTTCAACATTAGCTGCTTTCCCTCTTCAACCTTCAGCTGAGTGTTAGCTTTATTCATTTTGAAATCACTGGCTGAAACCAATAAGTACAGTATCAGTATGAAATTATTGAATTTATTTATTATTTATAAAATTTTATATTTTTAGTGGCATAAAATCTAAAATATCTAGGCGGTAACAACTGTCCTGAATCTGTTCTGAAACTGTCCCAACACACTTTCAAGTCAGTTCGTAACTAGTTTATGTTTTGGTGGTATTTGGTGGCTAATTTGTATGAATTTGTATGGTCTCATTTGTATATTTTCATACATTATGCGAGAGATGGGGTTAGGGGTGGACTTTCATTATTTATTTTTTTTAAAACAAATGTTTCCATACAAATTACATTGTATGTATTCATACAAAATTACCACCTCATAAAACTTTAGGTTATGTTTTCTCATGAGATCGGGTTGGCTGAATCTCATGTTTCATTAAAAAGGTATCTTTTATTGTTTTGTTTTGTTTTTTTTCCTAGAAAATGGCAGTGAAGTTTTGTTTAAATATAAGAAATATTCTATTAGAAATACCCCCCCCACCCCAGGACCCTTAATAATCAATTAAACTTATTTGTGTGTAGAGCACAGTTCAGTGGGGAAAAAAAATTAAATGAAGTAAATGTGTTTTTACCTTTCTCTTTGACAACCAGCTCTTTGGAAACAGACATTTTCTTTAGGGAATACCAGTCACCAAGAGGATCCTGAAGCCACTCTTCCACCTCACAATGATATTGCCCACTGTCAGATGTTCTGACCTGTTGAATAATCAGCTGGAAGTCCTGTTTCTGTCTTATTTCCATACGGATCCTCTGGTCCATCTCTAGGCCGGCTGCAGGGCCAAACTTGACAACAGCATCTAGGTCCATAGTTAACAGCATCTGGGACCCAAACATCCATGTTATCGTGAAACGAGAGGTATCTGTGGTTGTCCTCGTGACTGAGCATTCAAGCTTAGCATCAGTGTTGACAGTGGTTTCCAGACGAGAAGTGGGTGAGTACAGGCTCATCTTGCTGACTGTATTAAACATTACAAAGTAAGGAAAAAAGAGAGATAGGGATATTAAACAGCTGAACCTACAATTATCTAAATGCTTTATTTTAAAAAAGGTTCTAAATGTGCAAAGACAACATAGTGGCAAAAATGC